GGGAGATACTCACCTCGGCAATTGACCACAAGGTCATCTAGTTATGTAATCTAAACTTCCCCTGTTTAAGTTTTAACCCATTACCAGTACAGTTCCTAATGAGGAGTCCCTTCCCAGCATCCTTGTAGACCCACTTCAGATACTGGAAGGCTGCTATTAGGTCAGCTGCTCTGCCCCTGTCTATTAGTTCCATAGCCCCATCATAGAAGGCCACCAAATTGGTCAGGCAGGATTTCCCCTTAATGAAGCCATGTTGGCTGTCACCAACCACGCACATTGTCCCTACTCTGTCTTTTATTTGCTACGTACCTATAGAAGCCTTTCCTGTTATCTTTCACATCCCTTGCCAAATCTAATTCTAACTGGGCCTTAGCTTCCCGGACAATATCCCTGAACAGAAGCCTTCAGAAAAGAGGTGTGGTTCTAAGTGTAGCTCCTGACCCTAATGCAGACAAAAAGATTTGATGTCTAGTTAAAGCCATAAAGTTTTTTATTGGTAAGTGGGGTTTTGCATTTCTAAAACTTTCAAAAATAAGACTGGTGAGGAATGTTACAACCCTGACAATGTTCATTTAGCTATTAGTGTTGTGTATATTTCTCAGATGAATTAATTGCCTATGAGTTGAAGAGGCGAGAAGCAGAAGCTACAAGGAGACCTCTACCAGAGCTTGTTCGTGCCAAGATCCCATTTAGTGCGTGTCTGCAGGCCTTTTCTGAACCAAGCAATGTAGAGGATTTCTGGAGCAGTGCTCTTCAAGCAAAGTCTGCAGGAGTGAAGTGAGTGTGTCTGACTGCCTATTAAAAATATATATGGTAGTGCTGTGTGCTTATCTTGCTACCTGGACATAATGCAGACAGAAACAGACAAAGGTGTAGTGGGCTTTGGCATTATAGTAGTGTTGGGGCTCATAAATGTAATGTGCAGATCAAGCCTGACCAATTGAGCAGGAAGTAAATTTTTCTCAATTGTCAGACTTCAAGAGGTGATGCATTCTGGTTGTTAAGAGCTTGAACTTTAAATGCTTGTATCTTAATTGTCTGCCCATGTTTTAAAATTGGATCCTATCTATCAACTAGTCATAGAGCTCTGTATCGTGTGGTAGCAGATAAGGTCTGGAACTCTGTGCTTGGTCTCTTAATGTCTTCATTTCACTAAGGATGCTGAGGGGCATTGTGTGACAGCAAAACAGCGTGAAGGAAACAGAAGTGTTGTTTCTTCTGAGAAAGTTCTTTAGATAAACGGAAACTTTTGCATTTGTGAAGTAAGGAAAACTTCGGGTTTATTATGTTGTCATATTTTAATTTGTTTGCATTTGGATTTCTACCCATCACCTTTGTATGCTACAGTGTTTGGTTGCATCTGTTAAGTTTGCTGTGATTTACATGGGGCAATGGTACAAGATTGCTCTCAAGAATTTACAAAGTAGTTACTTATAGTGTGGTAAGATCTTATATTTAGGATGCATTTACTGTACTTTACCCAGAGAGGAGAAGAATGGTGGTACATATAATGTTACACTGTTCAAGGTTAAACTTTTTCTTTTTGCTAATTGGGCAAGTATCAGGGATGCCCTTGAACTGGAGTCATCCTCTATTTTGATAAATATTATAGTAGCTCAGTAAGAATATCATGTAGGATTTTTTATATAGCACTTTCATGTGGAAAAATACAAATGACAGCTTTTTTAATCTTTGCTAAATGAAATGCCTTATAGGTAGACTTATACCTCATGGACAATGCTACTGTTACTAGAAAGGGAGAGAATAAAATGCAGATTGAATTGTTACTCCATTCTGTCCAAGATGTGTTTTAAGCCTGTGCCCTGAAGTTCTAGCAAATTCAAAATTTATTTCCTGACATTCAACTTCAGAACACCTTGAGTGAGCAAGTTTAATATTACTTGCAGTTGTTTTCTATAATCGTCCTAGAAGCTGAATTGTCTGCAAGGGTTTGAGCTGACATTCGGGATATGAATGTATAGAAAGGTGTTACCGTACTTTTCCAATGTACTTGAAAATGTTTTTTGAAGCTTATGTTTGTAAAATCCATCACTTGATCTTACTCAGGGCTAAAGTGATTCATCTCATCTGAATGAGGTTCTGAAATATGTGCTGCTTGTGATTTCGTTGCCTTTTTTCAATGAATTGTGTATCTTGTACATCCCAGGACTTCTCGGTTTGCTTCGTTTCCTGAGTACTTAGTGGTGCAGATAAAGAAATTCACCTTTGGCCTTGACTGGATACCCAAAAAGCTTGGTATGTGCTTTTTATATTTACCTTTTTCTCATTCTGCCCAAGGTAGTCTGCAAGATGTACGCACTTTGGTCTGTAATGAGAACCTGGATTGAGTCTCGGGTTTATGCTGTGAAGATCCTAGTTGAATCTATTCCTCAAAACTAATCCATTAGGTCTGTGGAGTAAAAATACAGTTTCATATAGTCTGGCCTCCTTGGTAAACTGTGCTTTAGTGTTCTGAATTTCTCAAATAACTGTTTTCAGGAGGGCAATCCTGGATGTGTTTGTACCTTGAGTACCAGAGTCTGCCTCTCTAAGGGGGTAGGTTGCACCATTAGGTCATTTCACTGGATTCGTAAACTTTGGCTGTTTCTCTGCTTCTGTAGATGTTTCTATAGACATGCCAGATTTCCTAGATATCAGCCACCTTCGGGCCAGGGGTCTCCAGACAGGAGAAGAGGAACTTCCTGACATTGCTCCTCCCATTATCATTCCTGATGACCCAAAAGGTATTTACTGACTTTCTTCTGATTCTTGCCTATAGTCCTCTTTCCCTCTAGCATGTATTGATTCTCTTTCATCTTTTAGAGCTACGAACAAAATAGCAGCTTTTGTGCTTTTATAATTGAAGACTCTTACAAGACCACACAGCCTTTTATTTTCCTCTCTACTAGACAACTCTAGTTCCTTCCAGCTTTTCTGCTTGGATGTTTTCAGGATTTATGGTTGACGCTGTTCTGGACTCTCCGAAATAATTCACATTCTTGTGAAACTGTTGTGCTCATAGATGGACATTCTATTTTGTGAAATAGATTATTTCACTTGCTTTACTGACTACAGTCTCGTACTTACCCTGCTGTGTGATGGTTGCCTCTTTTGCCATAGTGTAGTGCTGCTCAATGGAGCAGCTTGTGCTGCATTATAATCTCTTAATCTTTACTAGCAGAATTGTTTCATGTCTTCCATATGCATGGATAATCGTCCTTACTTAACGATGAAGTCCTTGTGCTCATCTTCGTTGAATGTTCACTGGTATGTAAGACTTAAGGGAACAGAGAAGTGTGTGAACACCTCTAGACTTATGAAAATCAGCTACATGCAGAGAACATCTTCTGACTGTTCATTGGCCTTTGGCACATGTTCATCACTCCCTTTCAGTAAAGTCACTGTGCACTTCCTGGGGCCTGGTGCAAAGGACTTGGTCTCAGACCCATATGCTGAGTCTCATGACAGGTGTCATAAGTGGGGTGGAGTGTTAATCCACTCATTTCTTACATTTTCATAAGAGCTGTTACTAAACTGCTGTTATCTTTTGAGTACTTTTGTACTAAGTTTTGTTTAAAACCTGATGATAAAGTAGTCTGGGTGGTACTGTAGCTAAATCAATCGGTTAGTTCTTGTGTACAGTATATGGTCCATCCTGGTTGGAAGGAATTTTAAAATCTGTCAGTTACTACGATTGCTTGCTGTAGGATTTAAGTGTTACAGTTCTGAGCAGATGGTTTTCTGTTTAGTCACGATTTACTTTATCTTGAAACCCTTTAGTTCAAGGCGGAACAACAAACACACTATGTCTGCAGAATAGATTACTTCACAGTACAGTGATACTTAAAACACAAAGGACAACAGTTTAAGAAAACCACTTTACAGGCATAGATTAAGATTCAAAATTTTTAAATTTCAAGATTTGTTAGGTTGCAGTAGGCCCTAGCAGCCGTGCAGGCATGCACAGTCCACTTCTCTGGGTGTACGTGGGCTGTACAGCCCATTAAAAAGGGCTCTATCTCAAGGAGCTGATGTCAAACTGCTGACTGAAATATTTATAGAGCAGAAAG